GGAACCGTGCCCACGTTCAAACGCCATGCTGGCAGTGAAGCATGGGGTTCTGTATGTGTATGGAGGGATGTTTGAGGTGGGCGATCGCCAGTTCACCCTCAGTGACCTCTACAGCATCGACCTGCACAAGATGGAAGAGTGGAAAGTGCTGGTGGAGATTGACCCGAGTAAGCTCTGGCGGCAGGGGGGCTGTGTGACTATTGCAATAAAGGCTGGGATGTTGTTTCCAGCAGTGCTCTATTTTATTCCTGGAAGGAAATAGCTTGAAAGTATGTGATATGCAGTGTCTTGTAGTCTCTACTACCACAAAAGCCTGTGGTCTTGTCACAAAAGCTCTTGTCCAGAGCTTTGTAATGGCTGTAGAATATGAACTCTGGTCTGTCTGCTTCAAAAATCAAGGCATGTAAACCGAGCATCTTTCTTCACTGATGGCTGGTTCTAACCTTAGCTCTGCTGTGCAATCTCATGGTCTGCATGTGTGCAATGGATAAAGGGCAGAAAGGAAGGAGTTTTACTGGTAATTTTGGAGCTGGGAGGAGATTTGACTCTTACCAGCTTGTCTTCCACAGCTGTTCTGTGCTGTTCACTTCTTCCTGTCCATGTTAGATCTCTCCCTACTGTCCCCAACTTATTTCTTCTTTCTCACCTAAGAAACACAAGAATGGCTGGAGGAGTCAGAGTCAGATGAAGAGGAGGAGGATATAGAAGGTGCAGAAGGAGGAGAAGAAGAAGAAGAGAGCTCTGAAGAGGATAGTGAGGATGAAGAAGGTAACAAGAAGAATGTTTCCTTCATACTGACATAAAATACAGCACTCATTGGTGTCACTGACCTCACTGGCATTCAGGTCAGTTTTTCAGCAAAAGCAAGGTTTTCATAGTGCGTGCTTCTTAAGGAGTAAAGGAGAAATTGCTTTGGCTCCTGATAGGTTTTTAGGCTATTCCATTTAAACACAAGCTGAAGCACAGCCATGGCTGAGTTGACACATGGGAGAGCAGATTGCCTTCATTAGCTGTATGTGACCTCTCTTTCTCTCTTCCTCCCTGCTGTTGTGTACCAGGAGAGGAGCAACACCCATCTGTTCAGGCTGATGAGAAGCATGCAGACTATCTGTCCAGGACGGAGCAGTACTGGATCAAAGTAGCCCGCAGCAACATGGGCCCGGATGCCAAGGAGAAGAAAGTGGTGAAAGTGGCTCACGCCATGGCAAAGACATTCTATGAAGATTCAACCTAGGGCTGTTCTGCGAGTGCAGAAACGTGCTGGGAGCAGTGGTTAGCCCTGCTGAAATCAGCCTAATGTGCCAGGCGGTCAGTGTGTGCCCAGAAGGCTTCCTGGCACTCCAACCCTTGCATACTCCATATGAGTGCCTCTGGACTGACTAATCTCAATATGCCTGCTGGATTAATGCTCGGAATATACTGTTGTTCCCCTGGCTGGTTGTGGGAGGGACTTGGAGAACAGGATTACTGCCCAAGCTCTGGTTCTTCTGAGAATGGAGCATACAAGACCATCATCATTTTGTTCAGAAGTTATTTTGAGTCTGTGAAGGCAAACTGCGTATCTCACAATGGTTCTCTAGTCCCAAATTCCTTATCCTAACTGGGGCTGGAACTTGTCTCCAAGGATTTCTACAATAAACTTACTTGGTTACATGATGTCGGTTCTCTTAATTAATCCCATCCTTGCTTTACTTTTCATTTTTAGCTCCTGCCTGTGGGGAAAAACGATTGCTGTCTCCTCTTTGAAATATGCAGGTAGTGATCATAAGGTGCACCAGCAGCCCTGAGGTGCGGCTGCATTATTGGGAGAAACTTGGTGATCCTTTGTATGAGAACCACTGTAACTCCTGATGTGTGCAGCAAGTCTTTCCCTTTTCAGTATTGGCCATAGCAGGTTTGCTTTTTGCATGTGGAATCCCCCACTTCATTTTCTCACAGTTTGGTCAAGAAAGCAGTAGTGCTGCAAAGGATCTCTTTACAACCAGTGAGAAGTCCTACCTTGAGACTTGACAGCCTGTTGAAGTCCACAACCAGCAGGCTCACACTCTCAAAAGGATGTTTTTTATCCCTTTTTATCTTGATTCAGCCCTTCTCAAAGCATTTCTTTCTTTGCAGCAGAGCAGTACTGTAGTCCATAGGGACAACAGATGGGATACAAGTGTGTCTGTTGCAGCAAACAATTGATGACTTGAGTTGACACCAGAAGGCACTGGCTGTTCTTGTGCAGAAGGATGCAGAGTGCTGTGGGTGTTGTCTTGGTGGGGGCATCGCCAGGGAGCCAGCTTTCAGGTGAGCAGTGCTAGGCTCTCCAACACTAGGATGTAACAAAGATTAAGTAGAGCTGGCTTCCCGCATGCTTTAATTGTCAAGATAGAAACCCATTTGACAGGGAGGAGCCCTGCGTGCAAAACAACAGGAGAGTGCTGCCTTCCCAATGCTCTTCTTGCTGTGCTGTGAGGTTGGGATGAGCCTGCATAGGCTGAGGTTGGTTGTGTGATCTGGTGCAGGTGGTGCTGATGGCCATTCTTAGGCTGTGTGATGAGGGGATGCTGCCACGAGCTCAAAACTGAGGCCTGGCTGTCAGCTCTGATGAAATGAGGCTGTAGTGCTGAATGGGGACAGCCTGCCCGGGGACTGGAACGCACACAGTGTGCTCTCTGGAGCATTTGCAGCCATTGGACTTGAGAGTGAAATCAATTCTAGTGCATCTACAGCTGCTGCTCAGCAGAACAAATGAGACGAGCGCAGTCAGCAACAGCCTCAAGGTCTGTCTGGGCCCCATCTCGTGCTGGGCAAGGCTCAGGAGCTCTCACTTGTTGATTGAAAATTAAAACCTCTGAAAAAGGTACTTTTTTGTGTGTGATGGACACCAAAGCAGGGATGCCTGATTATTACCATTATGCGAAGTGCTTACAGAGGAGGCCAGAATGTGTATTGGTATCTCAGTCTTCTGAACGTTGGCTGAAAGTCTACAGAAGCCTGCTGTTGGATCAGATAGCTGGTGGTTTTCCACGCTGTAGATCCAGAAGGACCTTAAAGAAGGAGGTGTTTCACAGGCACACATCAGTGCAGTGACTTACCTAAAATGGTACCCAGGGGAAGGGCTGGGGCTGGAGCTCGGTGGAAAACTCGGAGCTGGGAAACTCCCACAATGTCTGTCATAACAAGAGTTGTTCCTGTCTGATGTGCACAAAGAACAGCTTGTGCTTTTTCAATGTATGAGCAGAACACTGATAAAATCCAATTATTCCTTTGGCATCTATCAGATGGTTATGTTTGCCCATCTTATTGTAAAGGAGTGAACGTGTCAACATTTACATAGCAGAAAGCGACCTCAGTTTATTCTTATATCTGGAAATAGTCAAGCTGTTGTGTTGGGATTTTCCTTGAGTTTGTTTTGCTTGTTTTTCAGCTAAAAGGCAAATCTGAAAGCTAAGGACATCACCTGCTGTTTTTTCAGGAAACTCTTCAGGAATTCCTTTTCCTTTGGGCCGCACACACATTGTAACCCCACTGCAAGCAGCATAGTGAAATGGGATTTTCTGTTGTGTTTACATGCAGAGCTGGGAGGAAAGAAAGGGCATGGGGGACTGCCAGCTGGAATGCCATCCACTTCAAAGGCTGCACAGAAAAGGCTGCAGGAGAAGGTATGTGGTGTTGTCTGAGTGCAGCTTAGCTTGCAACACGTGGGGTTACTTCTCCCATCAGTGTGTTTGCTTCAGCATAACGGGAGCATGGAAGCAAATGAGCTATCGGAGAGCAGCCAGGGAAACTGGGCTGACCTCAACTAAGCTCAATGCTGTTTGAAGGTAGAAGGCCAGTTCTTCACATCCCTGTTTTCGTGGGGCTGTGCTAACAGCAAAAGCAAAGTTTGGTCGTGCTGAGCTCCGTGGTTCTGTGCTCCTCATCTTCCTGCAAGCTGCTGCTCATAGGTGTGCTGTACCTGTAACTGCCAGAGCAGCAGAGCCAGCTGGGGGCTCAAGGAACTGACTTCTGCTGCAGGATCACTAAAACACCCCTGACAGCCTAAAAACCTTCAGCTATTCGTGTGCACCTGATGGCGTGGACGTAAAGCAGCAGGGATGGACAATTTATGTAGATTTATGAGCCTTGATGATGGATGTTTTCATGTGCCTTGAGTAGGTATGCATGAATCCAGGGCTCGTAAGGCAGAGAAATGCTCTGAATTACCTCTCTCTCCGGGCTTCCTCTCAAGAATATTTCTGGCCTTGGGCTAATGTGGAAAGCTCAGAACTAAGACAAATTGCTCAGCTCCCTATGATTAATAAAGGGATCGTTATTTTTAAGCACGTGGTGTGGGAGCCAATTAATACAAGTCTGCGGCTGTCTCTTGTGCTGAACCTCAGCTTGACCAAGGATTTGTACCCAGGAACAAAAGGATGGAAAATCAGAGTTGTGTTTGCTGTGCTGGGTTGGCAAATAAGGCGAAAGCAGGAACAAGTGGGTCTGCAGCCTGGAAATGCTACTCGTGAAATGAGTGCTACCTCTGTGTGATGGGTAACGAGGCATTTTTGCACTGTTTCATGCCTATCTAAATATCAGGCTGTTTGCAGGGAAGCATTTGACCCACTTCAATGGGATCTTTGTGTCATACACTCAACAGACATCCATAAAAAAACTTCTGCAGAGTCCTTAAGAAGAGCTGCATCCAGCATTACAAAACACAGCACGGATGAGTGCCTGAGGCTGCATCCCAATACGTTGCTGTTGGGTTCATCTCGGGTAGGCAGCATCCAACCACAATATATCACTGTTGGGTTCATTTCAGGTAGGTGGTGACCACTGAAGGGTAAAAAGGATGACTGAGGAGCAAAGAGGAACCGCCAAAAAGTGACGAGGTGTCAAGAGGATGGAGAGTTATTGTGGAACACGCCTTGGGAGATGTGCTGGTGTCACCTGCCCTCTGCCTGAAAGGGAGCTGTGGAGGAAGGAAAGCTGCGACAGGGAGCGAGAAAGACCATGTAAGGAAAAGAACTGAATTTAACTGGCACATGCTCTAATCCTTAGTTTATTTCTGGTTAAAAATATAGCAATCCAGTGCAGTGTAATAAGAAATCTGCTGAAAAGGTAGCAGAGAAACAGCTAAAACAGAAGCGAAGCAAAGCGGAGTCCGCTGCTCCCCACAGCATTGCATGTGGCACGCAGAGCAGGGCCCCCGTGGGTCACATCCTGCCTTGGGGGCACAGGGTGATGTCCTTGGCCATGGCCAACCCAAATCGTGTCTGTGGGGGCTGGGAGGAGACCTGGTGGCGGGGCAGGACGGCGCGGGGAACCGGACGTGGGGTCATCAGCCTTTACCAAGCCAGGACCACGCTCCTGTGATGGGGACCATAACAGCTCAGAACAGGGATACGGCATCTTTAATGAGTATGCATATTATTGGTGGGCAGAGGGGAAGGGAGAAAATCAAGGCAGGCATATTACAAAGATGGTATAAACAAACGAGTTGAGTGACATAGAAAAGAAAGAAAAGAATACATCCTTAGAGGCTGCCATTGCCAATGATGTTGTTTTTTTTTTTTTTTTTTTCTTTTTTTTTTTTTTTTTTTACAGGGACATGTTGGAAGCTGGAATATACATCCTGCATTACAAAGTGCAAAATACTACATGCTCAGAGCCCAAGCATGATGTCTGAAACAGTCCACAGCAAGATGTAAGGGACAAACCCACCACCCTCTCCCTCCTTTCTGGCACATGCTCCAGTGCTCCTCCCCAGATGCCATGTAAAAAAAAAAAAACCAAAACAAACCAAACAAAAAAAAAATACAACTTTTTATCTTATTTTGCTTAATTTTATTATTACTTTTTTTTTTTTTATATATACTAGGTGGATCAGAATCGAGCCTCTCTTGCTGCCGATCTGCTCCCTGGCATCTCTGTGGTTGGGTTGGGATGCTCAGCTCCACTCGGGTCACTGGAGATGCCTGCACGTGTTTGGGGGCCCTGGGCACGACGCCGAGCCAGAAGGAAGAGCTGTGAGCAGCACTCAGCCTTGGGAGGTGCACCAGCCCTGCTGCATGGGGACGGGGCTGAGGGCAGGAGTGTTTTCCCCCCGATTTCCCCCAAAGGAATTCTGCAAGACACTGTTTGCAGCTTGGTTTTGACAACAAAGAACAGAATGGGGCTGGGTGCTGCTTTCCATCCTTCACATCCCGGCAGGGCTTGTGCCTTCCTGTGCTCCTCTCCTCCATTCACAACCGGCCACCTGCTTTGGTTTTTCTCTCCCATTTCCTCTCTCGTGAAAGCTGTTGGATCCCCCCAGGAAGCTCAGCCCGGAGCATCCCAGGATCCACGCACCCTCACACCCATCCCCTCCTCTATCTCCATTTGGGAGTTGCTCACCGTTGTTACAAAATACATTTTCAGGGGTGAGGGGAAGAGGAAGGGAAATGAGGTTTTCTTTTCTCTTTTTTTTTTTTTTTTTTTTTTTTGTTGGGATTCCTTCTCATCCTTTCCAGTGTTGGGGGGGCAGAGTGTTGATAGCATTTTGCCATGCCACACAGCATAGTGTTATACAAGCAAAGAATTTTTGGCTAAAATCCAAAAAACATCACCCAGGAAAAAAAAAAAGGCAAACTGTGAGTGAGACTCGATCGTTTGTTGTTCTTCTGTGAAAAGACTTGGAAATTGTCGTAGGACAGTTCAAGTTATGATTTTCCCTTTTTTGTTGTTTGTTTGTTTGTTTGTTTTTTAACCCCCCATTCATACATGTAACTGTTATTTTTGCAAACAAGACAGTCTTGAATTAGATGAAAAAGTTAATAAACAAAATGGCGACTCCAATATTTAGTAAGATCACCATGACTACCAAGATGGGAGCTGAGCCCTGCAAGAGAAAGAGAAGGAAACGAGTTAGAAGGAGCCCAAAGCACTGCAGATCCTCACCCCTCCTGCTGGGACATCTTGTGGTGGTGACAATTCCATGTGGATCCCAGTGAGTGCACCCATCTACTGCAGTGTTATTTGCTTATGGGCTCTGCCTGGGTCATGTGTGTAGGAAATCTGGCTTTAGCAGAGAAGACTCGATAGCAGTTGAGGTGGTAACTGAAGTGAGAAACAGTTAAAAGAAAAAATTGAGTTGGGTTTTAGAGTTGTTGGGGGCGGTTTGGAGGAGTCTCCAAGGGATGTTTTCCAATGATTGCAGTTGCTGTACAGACATCCTGTTGATAGCAAAGGCTGGCACGCAACTCTGCGTCAAGGCAATGTTTTGGACAGCCCTGATGATCTGCTCTGGGCTCCACAGCAAATTCTATTGGGGGGCTGTTTGGGAAACATCCCAGCGTGGTTGCACCTGCCTGGGGTGGCACTTTCAGCATGGGATGAGCATTGCATGAGCTGCTTCTCTGAGTCCCTTTTGCAGCTGCCAAGGGTGTTGTGTCTGCTGGACCCCAATGGGGCAACGGGAAGGGAGTACACAACATTCCCTGTCCTAAAGTGATAGCAGGGAGAGCTGTGTGCAGGTGGGTGGCAGCTATTTCTTGGTGTCGCTGCATCCTCATCTGTTCTCACTGCTGCAGAGCTATGCTGCCTCTCACAGCCTGCAGTGGTGCAGGTGGTTCCTCTGTGCTGTACCAGAGCCCCTGTGCCCATCCAGGTGGCACGGGGCAGGGCTGTGGGCACAACTGTGGGGAAATCCTTGCACCAGTGCTGCTGGAAGAAACGCTCCGTGCCGGACACAGCGGGTTCCTCCTCTGAGCAATCTGATTCAGTTTGCATTGGGAGTGGGTGGGAGAGAGGATGCTGGAGCTTGCTGGAAAGGCATAGCTGTAGCTTAGCAACAGGGTCAGAGGGAGCTGAGCAGAGGGAGGGATGGCAAGGAACGGCTGTTGGCAGCCAGGTACCCCCCTGGCTGCTCCCAGCCACCTCCATCTGCACTGCCTGAGCTCGGGAGCCACAACCCGGCCCTGCTGCTGCCAGGTGCTGCAGTGCACGATTTAATTTTGGGGTTTTAGCTCCATTGCAGAAGATTACTGGGTTTTGTGATTTTTGAGCTCGTGTCAAATGCAATCACAGATTGTGAGCGATGATCGCTGCTGTTGTTTTTGTTGGCAGAGCAGTGTGGAGACACAAAAGGCATTTGGTTTCCTTCACCTCACAGTCAGGGCTGCTCCCTGGCACACTGACATCAGCTGTGGTCCACGCACAGCTCCGTGTCCCTGCCAAAGGGCAGTGACCATTTCTGCCCTGCTCTGCCCATTGGATCACCTCAATGACATGCAGACTTAAGATGCAAACTGATCAAGCAGTGCCATGAGCCCCTGCTGCTCTGGATGCTCTCTCCTCCCAGCTAAGGGCATGCGTAGGATTCCTCATTCCGTGATATCTGAGCTTTATCCTCACCTGGGGATAGACCCGGTGCTCTGGCTTAGATTACAGCACTTTGGTACCTGAGGCTGGGGAGGGATTTATCTGGGTGAGCCCTCAGCCAGAGAACTGCAAGAGTCAACCACCCAAGCACACACCTGCTGGCACCAGCAACACCTGGGCCCCCATTATATGAATGTTCTGCTCCAATCTGCACCTGTTTGCATCTTGCATTTCAGCGCAGAGCCAAGAGCCAACACTTGCTTTGCTGCTGTACAGCTGGACTCTTCTATGTTCTCCTCTCCCCTCCCAGCACTTCTCCCAGGGCTGGTACCCACTGGCCTTACAGTGCATTCCCTGGCAGGGGCTGGATCCCTGCCTGCAGCAGCTGCCCACATAAGCAGCTTTGGGACATTAAAGCTTCTGTTTTAGCTCCAATTACAAATCCTACTGCACTTCTCAATGCTTACATCTGGCTTATTTCTAACTCGTGAGGTCTTTGTGCCTTTGTTCAGGGCAGGCACTTGCCCTTCTCCCTGTGGATGGCAGAGGTGTCCTGAGAGATGTCTCATCTGCTTCTAAGCCATGATTCCTTTTTTCCCATCGTGGGATGATGGGCAAATTTCATCAGCACTGCAGCTCTGGGGCACAGCTTTATAATAAGATCCCTGGGCTCCTTTGTGGGAGAGGGAAAACAGCTGCCAAGGTTATGAAAGGTAGGGGTACCAGCAGGTGCTGGGGCTCCTGCAAATGCAGGGATCAGCTGTGGAAACTTCAGGCTTTCCTCCTGAGTTGAACAAGCCAAACCACAGATCCCAAGCCTTGGAAATGCCAAAAAGTGAACAACCCCTCCTTATGGCACAGCAGTGATCTCTGTGAATGCTTCCATCACTTTGGGGCATCTTTTGGCATCTCCCATTGTGGCATCACCACTCCTCCCCCCCCTTGCTTTGTTTGTGTGTTCTGTTGGGGTTTTGTTCTCCTTTAACCGTTGTGTAGCAACTTGAGTCTCACCAGGAACACATGGGACAGCTGGTTTACAAATTAATTATGCCACAACCGTATTTAGGTATTAACAATCCATTATTATCAGTTATCGCAGGGACACGAGCTTCATCTCTGCCATGGAAACCATCATGCAGGTTACCTAGGAATCCCTTTGGGATCTGTTAGGTGTAATTACTAAGGACTTGGATCAGCAAAAAGCATACGGGCGTTGTTTTCCAGCCTCAGCACTACAAGAAATGCTGAAAACTTCACAGCTGGGTGACATTAGTGCTGAATTGTCACCTCACTGCCAGGCATGGGATGCTGTGACACAGCTCAGGAGTGCTCAGCAAGGGGAGAAGGGGGGCTGGCTTTGGTAAGGGGGTGGCGGGTTCAGGATTTTGGTGTTGTTTTGGTCAGGAGGTGGCATTTGGTCTCAGCTTTCTCAGGAAGGGATGCAGAGGTGAGGGATGGCAAAGAGAGCTGCGCTCCTCAGCTCCATCTGAGGGCCCTGAGACGGAATGGATGGGGAAGGGACACCGCTGGGTTCAGCATCACGTTGTTCTCTGAACGCTATTTGTGTTGTGTTGGTGTAAGTAAAGCCTGCAATGTCTGCGAGTGGAAGAGATCAGAGGAAGAACAGGTTTAAGAAGCAAGAAACCCAAAACTCAGCATGCACCACAGTCCATCTGTGTGCCAGCAGCTGCCCCCCAAAATTGGGGGGGAGGGGGAGGGTGGTCCTGGTGGAAAAGGGAGGAAAGAAAGAAAAATCCGAGATAGAAAGCGGAGAGGACACAGCGCTCAGCGCCACGGATGCCAACCACAAAGCATCCCCGGGTGCTTTTTGCAGCACCCAGAGATGCAGGCAGAGCTTTGCCATCTGCTGCTTTAACCAAAATGCGGGGCTGGGGGCTGGGATGGGGCAGGGGGTGGTCCATGCGATCTGCCTTCCCCACGCCGCCGCGGTGCGGCTCCGGCAGAGCCGGCTGCACATTGGCTGCCTCCTCCCTGCTCTCCCCAGCGACAGGGAAACCTGCTCGGAATACATGGGTGGGAAATGCGCAGGCAGCGGGCGGGGGGATGCTGCAGCTCCTGCGTCCTCCTGCCTGGCACGGGGGGTGGTTTGTGCCGTCCGTAACCCTGCAGACGGTTCGCAGACCCCTGCTCGCCCTTTGCCATAAGAAGCAACGCTATCAGCACGGGCTGCGACCGCGGAGATCGCATCTGACAGTGGATCGGGATGTCAGGAGCGGATGGGGCTCTTTTCTTTTTGGTTCCTGCCCCACTATCAGGCTTTCTCAGTGCGGGGATTTTAAAGGGCCAAGCACCCAGCCTGCTCGCATCCCGCTGCCTTCTGCCGCTGAATGAGGACAGGCAGATGGGGGCTCCTTCCCACAGCTGTGCTGGGGACCCACGGCCCTGAAGTGTTCCTTTTTGGGGGCTGCAGATGTTCAGCACCTGCAGAAAAGGGTTCTGTTCTTTTTTTCTTTCCCCCTCAGTCCTAAAAATACAACCGATGGATAAAAGGAGCTGCTGGCCTCTTAGAAACCTTTCCCCTTCCAGCAGCTCAGCAATTCCTTTCCTCCTTTCCTTTCCTTTAGGCCATTTCAAAGGCTCCAGGAACCCGCTCGGACACAGGCTTGAGCTCTGTGCCTTGTGGTTCTCAGGGCCAGAATGGACAGTGATGTCTATATAAGTTATATTAACCCAAGAATGCTGGTCGCAATGCACTCCTTTATGCTTTCATCCAGGTGATGACTGATACAGGCTCATTCTGTACGCACACACACAGATCAGGCGGCTCCAAGCGTAATTTTTGGCTGTGACCCCCTGATAGCAGAGCACCAAGCATGGAGCAGGGAACGGCCTTACAGGGGAATGGAAACCAAGGGAACCCAGCTCAGAAGGGCAGAGAGGAGGGGGCAGGCGAGGTCACAGCAGTGCTGGTAGGATGGGACGTGGGGGTGGCACACGGCTGCCCCTGCTCACCACCCCTCACTGCTGCCCAGCCGCTGCAGCCGCCCCTGCAAGCACACTGCTGTGTGCTAGAACAAATTGTTGCTGGCATTGTGGGTTATTTAAATCTGCATATTATCCCTTCCTCTGTATTACATTAGCTTCCTCCCAAACCTCCGCCATCTGTTCCACCCTCGGTTATGAATGTGAGAAAACTGAACATGCTGCTTCGCAGCTACAGCACTTCAAAGGACGACGTGCAGCCTAATGGCTGCTCTGGGCACCGCCTGGCGTTCACCCCGAATTGCCATCGCTGTGATGCTGCCTTGGGATCTGTGCATCCAAAGCTGCAGCTCGTACTGGGAGCACTGGTTTTGCCGGGCTGGCAGGCTGCATCCTGCAGTCTACCAGCAGACATGCTGCCTTCAGCTCCTCTGAAATGCTGTGTGGGTGCTTTAGAGCCTGCGCTGAAGCTTGCAGGATGGATAGGAAGGCAGAAAGCTACAGGGCTGCGTGTGGGGGTGATTTATCATGGCAGGCCTGCAGCATCCTGGCTGCTCACGGGCTGAGATGCCACTGTTTCCTTCTCCCACCCATTTGTTCCCATCCTCTGGCAGCACAGGATCATCCAGCCCTGCCCGACTCAACGAGGGCCCACATCAGACCACCAGCACTTCACCCAGCACTGCAAAACACGGGGGAGAAGGGAGGCAGCTGTTCTTGGTGTGAGTCCTGCAATCCCCACACACAATGGCTGGGAAGGACCCAAGAAATCGCAGAGCTCAGCTTCATCCAAGCTGTACCCAAGCTGCAGATGCCCAAGCTGCTCTCGCACCACCTCTTCCCTCCCAGCCACCAGGGAATCGATCCCAGCTCTCAACTCACCAGCAGTTGCTAATGGCTCACCCCTGCCTCTTCTGCTCGCATTTAAGCCCATTAATTCTGTTCAAGAACAGATTATTACTTCCTACATTGCAGCAGCTGTTATACACTTGAAGATTGCTTTGTCTCCTCTTCTCTAGCCTGAACAACTCCAGCTCTTCCCAGCAGCCATCTCCATTGAGCCCCTCTCATCCCGAAATGAGGAACCCACAGGTGTCCCATGGGCTGTTATCCAAATCCCACAGGCTGTGCTGCTGGAAGCAGGCTCGTGCTCTTCTCCCTGACTTGTAGAGCTCCTGGCTAGCCCATCACCCTCATTGTAGTTGCCCATTGCTTTCCCTGCCTGAATTGCATCCAGCTGCCTGCACGGACTGAGCCCAACCCATTTGTGACATGCCCTGCTCCACCTGGTTCAGGTCCCCGGTACAACGTGGTGACAAAGACACTGCTTTGGCATCACACAGCAGTGGAGAGGTGCTGCAGGTCAATGCAATGCCCAACCATCACGAATTGAGCAGGAATGTCATGTCACGCTTTTGGGTCATATCATGCTCCTGGGTCATATCACGCTCTTGGGTCACGTTGCAATCTAGAGTTGTGCATCACCCTTGGGTCACATCATGCTCTTGGGTCATGTCACACCACTGGGTCAGTGTCACATCCTTGGGTCATGTCACAACCTGAGCCAGCATGAAGTTCTGTTGCTAAAACCCAGCAAGGAAGTGTCACCAAAGCCCACCTGCCCTTTCACCTTTCCCCCAGGTGAATACTTTGTGCCCACCAGCTCGCCTGTTCTTATTGCTGGCCCCCACGGATAGCTTATGAAGCTCAGGCTTCCCTGCTTGCATCCTCCAGTGATAAAACCACTGTTCCCACCAAGAGAACCTGCAGAGGAAACCCTGCATCCCCTTCCTGCAGGTACTCCAATGCAGCAAGGGAGAACAGAGGGGAGATTCCAGACACAGACCCATAGCAATGCAGAACTCACTGCAGTCCCACGACAGCTCCGTACCAGCTTTCTCAGCCAGATCTGAACACACAACGTTGCCTACTTACCGTACTGGATTTGAGCGCATCCCCACTGTCCTCTTCAGATTCTAGTGCAACAGGTAAGGATTTCTGTGGCGGGGAGAAGGTTAAGTCCCACCTTAGTAGCCGGGGCTCAGCTTTGTCCCCAAATCTCAGGTTTTCCAGTTTCTGAACCGTAGGCTCGGCAGAGGAAGCTGGCCTGAAATTCTCTTTGTTCTGGGACTTAGACCTCAGTCTCTGAACCCCGAAGCCCCGCTCTTCCCCGCGGTGGTCGTCAGCCATGCTCCTGCAGGCTCCCCCTTTGCTGTAGTGTCTTTTTTGGGTGTGAATCTCTTGCATATACGAATCCATCCTCATGAGGGGCTTCATCTCCATCTCGTAATTGCTCATCTTCTCCTCGTCTAGCTCAAGCAGCTTGGAGCTCCCTGAGCTGTGGTTGTGGGACCTGTGGTGGGAAGTCCAAGAAACCGTGGCTGGGGAATCTGTCCACCTCTCTCTTTGCTTGTGGTTGGAGGCCGAGTGTTTGTGCCCTCCGCTCCGCCCTCGGTAATCTTCGGGGACGTTGGCCGACCCGCTGCGCAGCGTCCCGCTTCTCACGCCGCGCGTCCCGCCCGCCTTCTCTTCGCTCCAACTGTTGGGTCGCAGGTAATCCCCGCCTCGCCCCTCCAGCAACATCTGGATCTCCCCACCCCTCTCTTCGTCCACCGAGACCTGCCTGGAGAAGTGAGCGCTTTTGTTCCTGCAGGAAGGGCCCAGCGGCGGCGTGGAGGAGGGGCTGGCGGGGAAGCTCTGCAGAGGACTGTCCTCCGGGGTCAGGTCGGACGGCGTTGTCCCTTTCCTGTAGAGCTCAGGGCTCTCCTGTTGCAGCGGGGTGCCGGTGGAGAGGACCTCGATGTCGTCGCTCGAGTTCTGGCGTTTGGGTCTCTGGCATTCGAGCCCTTTTCAGGGAGTGGTTGAAGGGGGGAAAGAGAGGGAGGAAAGGAGACAGGGTTATTTCTGTTCATTTTTTAATGACAAAGAGGAGAGATGAGCGTTGGGTGGCCAGGAAGCTACAGGGTCGGGTCAGGACTGCAGCAGAGAGGAGCCGTGCACAACTCGTGCCACCAGACCGAGAGCGAAGGCACCACACATGGAGCCCGAGGAGCACCAGGTGGCTTCTCCCTGGGGATGGGCAGCTCAGGAGCAGCTGAGTGTCTTCTGCAGGTGGCGGGTGAGAAGCACGGCGCTTCTCCAAACAACTAAAAACCCTGGGTGGTATGAATCCTTCATGAGACACTACATAATTTTGGAGGGTTGCAAGCCACCAGTGGTTAAGTCTCGTTTTACCCTCTCAAGGCATAGCTGTCCTCAGCTAAAGCCGTGTTAAATTACATGAGTAATTTGATAAATATATTAACTACCTAATGCCCCTGAAATGCATCTAATTGCAATTGCTATGGCTAGACAAGAAATGAGTCTCAAAAAGAAGAGCTCAATTTCTTACCGTGGTTTAAAAATAAATGCTCGCAAGTGCCTGCTCTAATCTCTATGCTTTCTCTGAGCCATTTGCTCTCGTGCAACTTCTTGGGGAGCCGTCCCTGTGCACCCCGTGATGTGATCTGGATACGTATGGGAGATGCTGATGGATGTCCCCACTGGAGGACTTGCAGGGGAGGCCAGCAGGAGCTTGGAATTTTCCTGCTGAAGTAATTTCTCAGTGGGAAATTGGGCTCCTAATATGTTTTCTTTTCTGTGTTGTTTGCCACAGGAAATTCTGCTTGTGTTTTGGGACAGTACTCAAACAGCTCGGTCTTAGTTGGTTTCCTGTGAATCTGTGGGAGAATGGGTTTCCCAGGGTTTATCTGGGCTCCCCGGGCGATCCTTGTACCACTGGGAAACGGAATGAAGGAGAAAGATAGAGCTCACAGCTCTGTTTTTGTGCAGAAAATCTCCCTGAGGGCCTTCTGGGGAAAATACAGGTAGGTGGGCTGCTGGCTGCTGGGGAGATGTTCCCAATTCACATCTTCCTGGCTCACACATGGGAAACTGAGGTGGGCAGGGAATAAAGAGCTACATATGGCAAAGCCACTTGTATGGCTCAGATGCAGCCAGCTGTTGGTGCAGGCTCACCTGATATTAAGGACTGTAGAATCATTCAGGATGGAAAAGACCACTAAGACCACCAAATCCAACCAACCCCACCATCCCAGTGACCACGTCCCTCAGTGCCATTTCTCCATGGTTCTGGATCACCCCTCGAGATGGTGACCCCACCACTCCCTGCTCAGCCTATGACAGAGCCTGACTGCTCATGCAGAGGAAGAAATTGTTCCTGATGTGCAACCTGAACTTCCCCTGGTGCAACTTAAGGCCACTTTCTCCTGTCCTCTTGAGCATCCCTGCTTGTCTCAGGCTTTGAGCACTCTTCCCCTGTTCAGGTCTCCAGAGTTCTCAATGGAGATGCAAAGACTGGAAAGCTTCCACCAGCTCCAACCACCAAAAGCAGCCTCAGCCTGCTCACAACTCTGCTCCATCGCCTTCACACCAGCCCAAGGCTCTCACAGCCACCCCAAGCACTGTAATAGAGGTGAGAAAGGCCCACCATGCTCCTGCATCCTCACCCTAGGATCATAGAACCGTTAAGGTTGGAAAAGACCACTGTGACCATCGAATCCAACCGCTGACCCACCCCACCATGCCCACTAAGCAAGTCCCTGCATCCTCACCCCATCTCAAATTTTCCCCACCCAGACCCGTAATGGGCTGAACTATTTCTGCTTCTCCTTCCCTCTGTGTTTTCACCCCCTGCACTGTGCAGCCCTGGCTGGGGCTCGGGGTCAGGCAGCGACGCAGGGCTGCAGGCTGCTCTTTGCAGAGGAACACGACCGATGCATGGTGCCATCCTGCTGGCTTTCGGTATCAAAGGATGTTCAACAATTATTCTGCTCTAAAATTAGCTGGCAAGCACGTGATGTTCCTGGAAGAACCGTTGTGAGAGCGCTACGGAGGATGCGGAGCACCAAATCTGGATCTCCAGCAGGAGAATTAAGGCAGCCGTGCCTGGCCATGGCACCTTCAAGGAGAGCACGTGCCCCATGTTTTGGGTGGTGTGTTTGTTTTTTAATGTCCTCTAAATGGAAGGTTCTGCCCCCCTTCCCTCATGCATGACCCACCAAGGGGTGAGCGCCAGAAGCACGAGCCCCACCACCAGCTGTGCACTGCGTCCCCATCCAGCAGCTAGTAAAAAATGTATTACCTAAAAACATCTTTCTGAGAGGTGGTTTAAAACAGCCAAGAGGAAATGGAGATGAGGAATATCTCAGGGCTGAGGAAGCCCCAGGGACCACACAGCCCTGAGAAAATGCTCAGATCTCCGACAGACAAACTGGAGGTCTGCAGGTGGAGGAAAAGGGTGTTTAAGCAGGGCTGTGCTTTCTACCAGCAAAAATGGGGCTGTGTGGGGCTCTGCAGCAAACCCTCTGCATGGGATGGTAGGGTTGAGAGATCCCCTCTGCCTGGCGAGCAGCACCCCGATGTGAGTCACCAGCACCAGCCCTCGAGCAATTAAAGGGAATGAGTAATCTCCAGTTAAAGAGCTGGAGAGGGGAGAAAATAATGACAGACGCCTCCTAATGAGGGTTTGGTGCAGGAAAAATTTTGAATAAAGCCATTCATACACATTAATTACTATGTTAATTATGGCTGCGGGGACTTGGATAGCTCCCTCCTACCCCTCTACGCACAGCTTTGGTGGGGCAAATCCCCCCGTGGGCTGAGCATCCTTGGCTTCCTCCTCCCAGAGCCCTTCCTGAGAGAAAACTGCTCAGCTGGGCACTGCCTGCTCCCCCCACCCTTGATGGGCAGAACCCGGTAGAAACCATTGAGAAAAGCTGGAAATGCCAGAGGGACATCTGGCTCTGTGCACATGTAAATGCATACAAGTCCATTGGGCAAACCCTGAGTGCGTGTTCCTTGATACCTTTGCACTGAAGGAGCACATAACACACACTTACAAAGCCCAAACTTTCCAAAGAAAGAAGAAACCAAGCTCTTGAAGCCATAGGGTAAAACAGTGAGTACTTTTGGGATCATCTGAATTTGCATGTTGCTTTTGGAGCCATCGGTTTTGTTTTCTGGGCAACCATTGGAGACTATGTGTTAAAAAATGGAATTGTTTCAATGCAAGGAGCCAAAGTCCCTGCTCTGATAGGGCTGCACGGGGTAGAGTGTTGTGTTGCATATGGGAAAATAAGGCTCCACAAGCTGATGCTATGGGTACCCAATGGTGCCAGGGAGCTGCGGGCACACAGAGGGTGTGCAGGGCTCATTTTTGCCTATTCTATTTGCGAACCCTGATATGAGATACGTGCAATGTGGGCTGTCCAGTGAGGCATCACGCACTGACCGTTTTCCCTGTGCTGGAAGGAAGGAGAAAACTCTTTGGCAGTGATCCTGGCGATGCGCGCTTCCTCCTGGGCTTTCTGTGCTGCTGTCATGGCCGCCTCTGCCTTGGCCCGGGAATGGGAGGTCCTGCAAGGCAAACAGAAAGACAAGGATGTGAGCAGAGGGTCACAGCACTGCTTGGGGTTTCCCTTGGTCCCCCCAAAGCCCAACCCAAAGGGTTTGGGCAGAGCTGTGCCCGGTGGCGTTAATGCGTTGCCGCTTTGCGATCTCAGCTCCAAGCAGTTGCAATAGTGGTGATCTTCAGTGGGGACTCAGCGCTGCAAAAAGGGCTGTGTTAAAGGCACGGTGAAGGCTTTGATCTGCAAAGCATCTCCACTCCTGCGTACCGCCTGCCAAAATCTCCATCCCGCATCTCCAGGCTGAGCCCTAAAGCAAACCCTGCAGACTGAAGGCGAGGAAAGCAGCCAAAGCACAACAGGGAGAAACCCAGAGAGCACCCAGCAAACCCTAAGGCTCCTGGGACACGATGGGGATCCTGGGGCTGCCCTGCACTCAGCCAACACCGCGTCAGATGGATCAGCACCCACACCCTATTGCACAGAGTGCATCCTCCAGAGGTGTCCCTTCCCCTTAGCGGAGCTCTCGAGGCACTTTAAAAATCCTGTTCCTCCCCACCCCGGTGCAGGCAGCGATATAAATAGCTCTGCTGATTTCTTTTCCCTCCAAAAGCAGGCCCTCCATCTCCTTTAATCACTTTTTTTTTTTCTTTTTTTCTTTTTTTTTTTCCCCTCCTGCTCTCTGAATTCCCTCTAATTTTTCGACATCTGCTTGGAGAGGAGTTGCCATTTCTGACAGGCTCCTATAAATGGAAAACAGGGCCAGCAACGTGCCTCGCTCCGTGCCACGCGGTGTGAGTGGGAGCGCAGCTGTGCCCCATCACCTCTCTAAGCCCAGGCAGGATGTGAACATCCCCTGTCCCTTTTGTCCTTTGTTTTTAAGTGCCACAGACTTGCCTTTGCTCTAATCAGTGCTTTTTTAAAAATGCAAACCGACTGCTCCACAGTAATTATAGTATCACAGAATGGCTTGGCTTCGGTTCCAACCTGCCTACCATGGGCAGAGCTGCTGGCCACCACATCAGTTTGCTCAGAGCCCCATCCGGCCTGGCCTTGGGCACCTCCAGGGGTGGGGTACCTACAAACAGTGCCAGCTGAGGCTTGAAATTAGGATGCTGCCTGCCTGACATTGTCCTATGGGCACTTCTATGGGAGCGGTCCATCCATCAGCTCGCGGTGCTCCTCCATCCTCCTCTGCCTCCTCTACCTCCTTGACCCAGGAGCAGTCTGCAGAAGGGCCTGTCCCTGCCGTGCTGCAGTGCTCTCAGACAGCATGCTGCCGGTCCCTGCAGGCCTGGTACAAAGGATTAATAACGGCTGGTGGTGTCTGGACCGCACTCAGCAGGCAGGATTACACGCTGCCGCCAGATCTGCTCCCTGGAGAGGCAGCTGGAGGCAGATAGCTGGAGCTATCTGTCACTTCTTCCAGCACTGTGCCAGCAAAGGAGGCTGGGAGCAGCTTGTGCCGCTCACAAGCAGTCCTGGGGACAGACGAAGCTGTCTGCAGAATGGAAGGGCATGCTGGAGCAGCCTGCAGGGAGCATCTGTGCCACGCTCCTCACTCATGGACCCATTGGCTCCCATTTCTTCATTGAGACGGTTCAAAACATCCATCCCCTTGGCGTGGATGACTTTTCATCCCTTTGGCTTCTTGGCTTCCCTTCCCTTTGGTGTTGTTGACTTTCCGTCCCTTTGGGTTGATGGCTTTCCATCCCCCTGGGATGGGTATCTTTCCAACCTTTTGGTGTTAATGGCTTTTCATCCCCTTGAATTGATGGTTTTCCGTCCCTTTGGGGTGATGATTTTCCATCCCTTTGGATTGATGGCTTTCCATCCCTGGGAAACTTACTCCAGCATCTTCTGGACCAGTTCTTCCCCATCAGATCAGCCCAGGAACAGCAGCTGCTTGGGGGTTCGACCCGAGCAGAGTTAAAATCAATTACATTAATTAAGTCATCTCCAATCTAAAATATTTGCAATGCCCACAAAGCAGATAGAGCGCTGACTGCTGCACAGAGGCGCAGGCAGGCTTAATTGTTTGTAATGCTCTCTAAGATGCTTGCAGAGAGACAGCGTCGGAGTGAAAAGCAGAATTATGATGATCTATACGTTGCATAATAAAATACATAAGTATTCCCAAATAAATGCAAGTAATCCAGTTAGTGCTCGCATGACTTTGTCACATACTAAATTTAACAGCTGTCTCCTTTATACATGCCTGCTGCTCGTGGCGTGCACTAAATCTTAATTCCCCAGCTAATTGACTTTCTCTCCATGTAAAGCGGTTCTTCCTCCACAGGCACTGATCTACTCACCTTTCTCAGTCGCAGGTGGGGATTTTGCTGGGGTGTTGCCCAACTCTGAAACTGGACAGTAGGTCAGAGGGGCTAAATCCTAGAAACCACAGTCAAAATAAGCTTGAATTTGTCCCTTTGTTGCCTAATCCTGCAATGATCACACTGGACTAATGCCGTTGTTTGCAAGGACTTGATGCCCCTTGCACCTCATTTCAGCCGTTAGAAGTTGTGCCTCTGCTGGAAGATGCTCCATTAGGTTTCCTCTGCCATTGATGGATGAGTGTGGGAGAAGGATCAACACATCCCAGTGTAATGGAAATGGGCTCAGTATCGATGCACACAAATGCAAAGGGGCTTTGGAGGATGGCTACAGCTTCTAAGTCTCATCTTAGCCCACAGAGCATCCAAACAGGATGGTGTCAGAGGCTGGGAGGAGCCAAAGGGGGATGCTGGGGTGGATTGGAGCTCCTGAGACCCATGGCTCTGCTCTGATCCACGAGAGGCTTTGGGCTATTGCATTTATTGGGTTTTGCCAAGCTGACTCACTGCTCTCCTAGACCGGGCATGCGATCAAACTGGCAGGAGGCACTGGCAGGAGGCAGGGGGAACAGCAACCAAACATTGCTGCAAATCTTTGCAGATCTCTTGCGATTCGGCCAGAAGTGACAGGGGAAAGGATAATACCTGCGAGCGCCTCGTAATGCCAAGTTTATCGGCTCCGGCTAATCTATGAGAAGCTGGAGTCAACTGATCTGAAAGGAAGAATGTGGCTTTTCAGGAATGCCAACAGTGACTCCTGCTCGGCTCTGTGTGCACTAAGAGCTGAGAGGGCTTTTGCTGCAAAACTAATGCTCAGGGCTGGGTTAGCCATAAAGGAGTGAGCTTTGGTTGGGAAGAAACAAAGGAAAGATAAGACCAGGCAAGGCTTGAGCGGTGTCTATGCTAACAGAGAGCTCTGGCAGGAGAACAAATTAGGCTGGAAATTTGTGGACCATTGGAAATACTTCTGGAACGGAGTCTGCTCAGGAGTGGTAAAGGTGATGCTCGGGTTCATCAAAGCGTGGGCTGATGAGAGAGCCATCCTCCGTGCTCCTTTTTCCCTGGTGTTCCTGTAAGGAAAGCAGACTCTCTTCTGAGAAAAAAAGAAGTAGCAGACTTTTTGAGAAAAACCTGGCTGGGGCCAAAGGCAGTTGTGTGGAAACTGGGAAATCTGCATCGTTTGTGGCTTAAATGTGACGAAGAATCATATGGGCAACATTTCTGAGCAAGGAGGGCTCTTTCCCAAAATTCATATGGCAGCTGTTGCTGGGGAATTCCATTTCCTTAGCTAACAAAGCCGTCCCTTGCTCAGAGGGATCCTGGCACGCCAGGGAATCACAAAACTGCTGCTGTGCTGCTTCTGTGTGTTGGGGTGGAGACGGCCAGCAATTCCCCTATGGCAGAAAGCTTGGCTCTCATTGGCATCTCCATCACTGCCCCTTGAACTGCCCGATCCTACAGCAAAGCCGTGCTGCAACATCTGACAGTGTTCAGCTAATGATCAGAACTGTTCCTAAGGCCTTCTCCTGTGCAGTGTTTTGGGGCCTGATGAGGAGCTCTGCTTGCCCATAGGCACACACAAGCAGTGCGGATGGAGTCACGCCGGCAGTGAGCTCATCCCAGGCCATAATGAGCAGCCTCAAGTTTTCCTAAGGGAGCAAGCTGGCTCCATTGGATTCACTTTGTCTCTCAGGTCAATATGTAATCAGGCAGCTTTTGTGTTTTGCTTTTTTTTTTTTTTCCCCCCCTCCAAATGCATCTTTATCCTCCTATTGGAGGAACGTTTTCTCCCTCCATTACAGAGGGTCATGCATTTTTCAAATGGCAAAATTCAATTAACACACGGTAGCTGCTAGAAAATACTTTGGGGAAAATTCAGTGAGAGCGTTTCTCGGGGCACAGAAGTCTCAGGGCTCTGCTTTCCTGTTTGGTGGCTGCCTTGGGGCCGACCGCCTGCGTGCACAAAGCTTGCTCGGCTGCAGCATGCTCAGCTGCATTGAGTTGGCTGGGGTTGTTTCACACTCCCATTAGCACAGCTGAGAGCAGGATCTGGCCCTAATTGCAGCAAGCTGAGATGCACTGAGAGCTGTAAAGCAAAAGTCCCTGAGTGATCAATGCCAGTAAACCAACCCTAGAGCTGAGGGGAAGGGGGTGAACACCAACGCAGCCCCAGTCAGGGCAACCCAACCCCTGCCTGGGACCCGCCTCCACCCCAGGGCTGCCTCAAACCCCGACGCTTGGCCACAATTCCCACTCTCCTCCATGGGACAAATGGGGACTGAATTATTAATAGCTGCTGCAGACTGTCTGGCTTCTACCTCTGCGGGAGCACGGCTGATTTAGGGCAGAGCGTGGCCATGTGGTGCTGCTGGGGAGGGCTTCAAACCCATCTTGCATGCCTGTGCCCACAGGGCTCCGGCTCAGCATCCTTTCCCATCCCACATCCAGCACCCTGCAGGCCCTATAAGACCAGCCCCATAGCTGGGGTGGCTGCGACCCGGCGCTGGGCTCTGTCTAGACGCTTCCTTCAGGGAGTTGAGAGATGGCAGCAATTAACAACCTGTTTGTTATTTTCACTATCTGGCATTTATTGCCCTGATAAAACCCACTCTTAATTCCAGCTTGACTCTTTTCACAGCTCTCCTGGTTGGGTTGTTATTGCACTAGGCTTGCCTTGAGTGATTTGCGAAGGCAGTAATACAGTGCCGGTGTTCAGGGGGTGGAATATTAGACTCACCAATTAGCTATCTGCACATAAATTCCCATTTACCTGCTTATCACAAGCATATCTGCCTCGCCTGCTTCCTCCATCTACTTTTTCCTTTACCATCCCTCCCCTGTTGCTGGAATGCTTAATCAAGGAGCAAAAAGCAGCTAATGTGACCCCCTGTGTCACAATGTGACCTGTGTCCCAGCCTGAGGCTCTCCTAAAGTCATGGAAACGTGGCAATGGGGCCAATTTCCATGGAGCTCCTTTGCTCCAGGCTCCCGTGCCAGTTCTCCTCCAGCTCTGTGCTTTTCAAGCTTACAGATGAAGGAAAAACCCACCAAAGCTGCATGTGCAGCCCCCTGGACTCTGAGCCAGATCCTTCTCAGGGCAGGACTAAAAAGGCTTAACGCCTCCATCCTCTCCAGCTCACCTTATTGCCATCATCCCAATTCAGTCACAGGGATGCTTGTATTTTTTTTGTTATCCCTATCAGTGCTAAACAATAAGTGCCAGCCTGGCACAGCTAAATAGATTTCAGAGGGCTGGGGCATATGGAGTCATATAATCATGAAGGTTGGAAAGGCCACTAAGATCATCTAGTCCAACCATCAACCCATATGGGGTGGGTGGACGGCTCTGGTACCCAACCAGAAGGACAACACTGATGGAGAATGGAGACAGGTGGGAACAAATCCAGCTCCAGGTATGGAGTTTCCCATCTTCTTATAAGCTGGAAACATTTCAGATATGGTGTGGCTGTGGCATAGGCTGCCCAAAGAAGCTGTGGGTGCCCCATACCCGGAGATGCTCAAGGCCAGGTGGATGGAGCTATGGGCAACCTGACCTGGTGCCTGGTTCAGTAGTTGGCAACCAGCCCATGGCAGGGTGTTGGAACTGGATCGTCTTTGATGTCCCTTCCAACCCAATCGTTCTGTGATTCTCTGCTTGCAGCAACATTGGGATGTTCATCAGCTGCTGGAAAATGATGGCAGGTGATGCAAGACCTGCAGGAACGCATTTGGAGCAGGGTGTGGGAAGAGTAGGCTTCAAGGAAAGGGAAGAAATGGGCAGAAGAGATGCGGAGATGTTCTCTTCTTCCAATCACTGTGGGTTGGATGGGGCAGGTTTCCACGTGTTGTTTTTTTTTTTGTATAAGTACCCAGGTACATCATGGAAAAGGCCCATTTGAATGATGAGAGGAGAAATGGGAAACATTAAGCTCCCTCTGGTCCCTGCTCTTGTCGAGTGCCTGCAGACAGCCGTCCACGCACACATCCCAAAGGCACAAACACTCCTCTAACCCTGAGCAAAAATAGCACGTTACAAACGATCCTGCCACTTCCAGGCAGGAGGCAAAACAGGTTGGAAGAAATCACTAACAACCCTTGGCAAGAAAGAGAAGAAGAAAGAACCAAGAAAAAGCAAACGAAGGCACAAAATCTCAGAGGAACCTGGGCTCTGCTGGATCCTCTGCACACTGCAGATCTATACTGTCTGTATTAAATGCAAAAACAGAGCAGTAGAAAAGCCCGACATCGATGCCGCATTTGGGTGGAGATTTTTAAATGCACAGCAGGCCAAGTTAGAGCTCCCAGAGCAGCCATAACTCAGCCTGCTTGGACACGTGTAGCATTTAGTTTGGCTGTGCATGCTGCTGACTGTAATGACTCCAGGCTGGATCCAGCATTCCTATTGCATCTCTCTGTCTCCAGGCGAGCCGTCTCCAACATGGCACCGCTTGGGGCGTCCTCCATCCCTGTGCATAGGGGCAGCTGGTTATTTTGGGAGCCACCACGGATTCGACAGGTGGCACAGAATCAGAGAATCACATAGAATCAGAGAATCATTAAGGTTGGAAAAGACCACCGAGATCATTTAGGCCAACCGTTGACCCACCCCACTATGTCCACTAACCGTGCCACCAAGGCATGACCACGGTGGGGGCGTGCAGGGTGTGGATAGGGGGCTTGGTGTGATGCCAACCATCCACCTGCAGGTGGTCATGCCCTGCAGAGGTGGGATCAGGACTGGATCACCCCGGTCAATAATGAAAGCCAACCTTCTTGAGATAGATAAAAGGCTGGTAGAAAATCCTGGCTTAGTGGGGACCTGGAGGATGGCTGCCCTGTGCTGCAGGTTGAAAGGATTTGGTGGACCTTCAGCATTCCTCACGAGAAGGCTCCCTAAAACAGCCCATTCCTCCCCATCTTTCACACTGACCTCCTCAGCTGGCTGATGGCACACATGGGATGAAGAGTGGGGTAGAAACTCCAACGCCAGAGATGGAAAGGGCAGAACAGAGAGAGGAATTCAACCCCGGCATGAGCACAGGGAGCTGGGGGAGCCCCTGATTGGACTCCAGGAGGGCCCCAAAGCCCATCCATGAGCCATTGGCACAGCCTGGCCCTTTGGGACATGTTGGAGACTTTCCCTACAGCTGAAGGAAAAGCACTTGGAAGAAGAGGACATGGGGAAGTCCAGCAAAAAGTTCCAGGTGAAGGAGAACCTTACAGGCAGGAAAAGCAGATCCATCTGTTTAATTTCAGTTTCATTTTGATGCCCGGAAAAGAATGAGTCAACCCAAATTCTGAAGCAAAACAACAGAACCACGAGGAAAAAGCCTTTTTTTCTTTCCCTAACCCTTTTTACCCCTTTTGGGTTTTGGCTGAATTGCTTTGGCAGTTTCACAAGTTTTGGTCTCCTCAAGCAAAACAGACATTTGGCAAACAAGATTCCCAGGCAATTTTTGTATTTATTTTGTATATATATGTTATTATATATATATGTATTATATATATATTTTTTTTCTGCTGTGGGAGCTCCTGAAGCCTGAAAGACACAGCATGATGTTGAGCTCAGGAGCCATCCTCTGCCTGTAGGATGTGATTGAGAGGGATGCTCTGTGACGTGCCTCTGGCCACGCAGCATTGCAACCAGCCAACACTCAGCAGAAACCCACCCACACCACAAAGCAAACTGCAATAAAGCTTGTCCAGAGCCAGCAACAGACTTGTATCACTGAACTTCATATTGTAGTTCCAGCACAGGCTGGAGCTGGGCCAGGACATGGAGCTGACACGGCCCTGGCAGTGCTGATGGATTCTCTCCAGCTGCTGGAGGAGTGGTGTGAGATATCCGGCCTCACCCTCTGGGATTTCTCTGCTGCCTCCAGGTCTGTGGGGTGGGGAGAGCGGCTCGTTTCTGTGCAATAGGGCAGGGGACTGAGGGATGGACTGAGATGGTCCAGTACTTTGAGTGATGGGGTAGTAAGGCTGTAAGAGATGCTCAGAAAGCAAACAAGCTGTGATGGGCACAGCTCTTGGTACTTCACTGGGGTGGAGCTGGGGGTAATGGGAAACC